CTGTTTTACATGTCGGTATTTGGCTGTGTTTGTTGTCTATTTCTATTATTTTATGTTGAAGTAGGCTCTGTATTAGGTGGTGCGGGTAGTTGTTACTTTTTAGAATGTTGCTTATCTTATTTATATTTGTGTCTCTGAATTGTTTGTGGCTTATTGTTAGTACTTTATGTATTAGGTTTTTCGCTGTGTTAACTTTATACTTGAAGGGTTGCGCAGACAAGAAGTTTATTAGGCGTCCGGAGGATGTGGGCTTTGGGTACCAATGGAGTCATTTTTCCTGTGGATCATGACATCTAGGAACGGAATGCGGGAATGAGTTTCTGGTTCCATTGTGAATTGCAGTTTGGGATGGTATTGATTGAGTGTCTTTAAAATCGTATCCACGTCGTTTCGCCTTACTATAGCAAAAATATCGTCCACGTACTTTACTATAAATTTGGTGTCAATGTTGTATTTTCTTTTTAGCTCCATAAAGGTATTGTCCAGTAGATCGTCCATGACTATGTCAGCAATCGTAGGCGAGAGGGGATTTCCCGTCGGCATCCCAAAAGTTTGCGCGTAGAAATTTCCATTGTATGTAAAATAGTTATTGTCTTTTAGACAGAAATTTAAAATGTTGTGGAACTTATTTTTGTTAATTTTCGTATGCGATTGAATCGCGTCCCACTTAGTCAAAATGAGTTTGGTTGCTAAGTGCGTTGGAATGTTTGTGAACAGAGATATCCCATCAAAAGAGACTAATAAATCTTCCTCATTCATCCGGATGTCTTTAAGTCTTTCTTTAAGTTGAAACGCATTTTTTATATTATATTTTTCTGAAACAAGGTTGTTAAGGATTTTTCCTACATATTTTGACAAACCATAACACGGAACATTTACTGACGCCGAAATGGGCCGTAAAGGCAAATCTGGTTTATGTATTTTTGGCAACCCGTAAAATTTTCGTAGTCCAGTAACTATGTTTTTTAAAAAATTGTGTTTTTTCATATGAATCCAATTAATCCTGTGTACCTATACATGTAATTTATTCTTGGTTTCATTATGTTCGCAACTAACGATCTGTTTTTATGTATTCTAGTTGGTGTTTTTTAATAAAGAAATCGCCCCTGAAGATGCTGAGAAGGTCAGCGAAAC